GGGGGGGAGAGACATTCAGAAGATTCCATGGAGATGTTGCTTTTTTTTTGTGTCATAGTTTGTTTATAAATAGTCAATATGACAACAGGCACATTATGTCCTAAACAGTGAAAAGAATTAACAAAACCAGACTAAGTGAGAGACCCACTGGCAACCCTCTCAGTTGATATAAGAGACGTTGAAGGGAGAACTAGAGCATATTTAGATATATCCCAAGCTTTTTGGCTTTGATGAAGTGAATATGTTTTAGTTTTAGTAAAAGTTTAAGGCACTTGAAACACAATAAGCTCACGTGAGTGCTGAAGATTAGAGGTGTTACAAGAAAGTAACAAAACCAAAAGATAAGGAGTGATTAGGATGATAGTTGTTTGATAGGAAAGAAGGAGCAAACCACACTAGAGCACCCGCCAACCACCACCTGCTTGGAAGAGAATACTGGGATTGTCTCCTACTGGAAGGAGCCAAGCTGCTCAACAGGAATGGTGTTTGCCTGTCTACCTAGAGGTATGGAGCTTGGTCCCTGCCAATGTCAAGTTTTTTTCTTGTCTTCTCGAGTTTTCTTGGATGATGATGAAAAATTCCAGAGGTTTCAGTGTGGAAGTTTTGCTTAATAAAGATCCCATGGTAGTTGTGAAATGGAAAAGAGTAGGTCCTTCGAACCACCGTCTGAGCAAAATTAAAAATTAGTTCCTATCACAAACTGAGGGTACAGTAGTCAATATAATACTATAAGTATGAACAGAACCCTAAAAAACAGCATGTGTCTGCTTGTCGAGCAATGGATAATTCTACATTCTATGTAGATGTGCCATTTTCTAGGTGAATGGATGCTGGACATGGCACAGCTTTACCAGAAACACTGAGCGATCGTCACAAATACTGTGACAGACAAGACAACAAGTGAACAAGGATGCATGAGTAGAAATATCACCACACTTGTCTCCTAAAGATGTGTGTTTTTGTGATGGATCTATATCCTGTGCTCTTCTGTTAATGGTCAGATGGAGGAGTTTGAAAATGGAACTTTTTTGGTCTCATATTCATCCTTACAGGGATTTCTCTTCCTCTGCGTCCTATTTCTTTCTAATTTGGATGTTTAATTTAGATTTTCAAGAAACTCAAATGTCAGTGGTAGAGTCCCCTCCCCCTGAACTGTTTAGCTGGAAGTGTCTTTGTGTCTAGATCCTGTGAACATTAACAAGAGAAAAGAGAAAACTGAAAGAAGTTGATGGACAGATGTTGTTGGTATGTCATGTGTTGAGCCACAGAAGTGCACAGAACAGTTGTTGAATCTGTCCAATGAATCAAGATCTTAAGCTTTATTTTGTTGTTGAGGGGGGATAATTTGGAAGGGGGTGGGGGTATGATATGGTTTAAACATCAAAACAATAGTAGTTATATTTCTTCCCAGTGGCTTTTTCACGAGAAATCGTCTAGCCAATAGGTTGTGCACCTAATACGAATAGAGGAAAATTCAAAATGCCTGATGTGACTTCTTTCAGTATGGAATTGATTGAGAACCTTCAGTTCTGAATTGGATGTTGTAAATGTTGATTGACAAACTTTCTTGTCAAACTTTTAAACTGTTATAGAGATACTTCATTTGCTTATATGTGTCATGGTGCAGTGGAATCAGGCACTCGCCAATTTTTGGACATGCAGAGTTATTGGTATAATTTTAAAGTTTGCTCATTTGTTTTGCTTACAGTGAAAAAAAATACTGATCTACCATGAATAGAAGTCGAGATATTTGCGATTGAAGGAGGTGAGGGTTGCCTGGTTTCAGAGGTAAATTTAGCGAGAAAATGGCTGTCAAAATTTGATGACTTCCAAAGCTTGAGAATTCTTAGAAACTGCAAATTTACATTTTTGAGCCTTAAATCAACATTTTTCAGTAAAATCCCCCTGAGAAATGTGTTTTTAAAGGGACCTTAAAGGTGTAGTCAAAAATACAAAAATTCTATCTATAAAGATCTCAAATGGACAGAAAAATTTCATTATTTTTACGAGCGCCTGATTTCACCACGATACCTCACATATTGGTTTCATTCTACCGGTGACGAGAATGTAAAGATGAAATTTGAGCCTGCATTTAACTTTTTCTTGTGAGCGATTGGTTGGTTTGAACTTTTCTCATAAGATTTTTTTGCACAGTGTGAGAAATGAGAGTGCGATTTGATTGCATAAAAATCAAATCAGAGAACAGAGAAAGTATGAAAAAAGGCAGCTGGTATATAAGCAGCTGAAGGCTACAAAAAGCACCGATTACTGCTTAAATTTTCCGACTTTGAAACTTGAAATGGGAGCTTAACATATTTATGGAGACAGTACTAGACTTTTATCTGTCTGTTTTGAAAATTAAGTTTCCAAAACGCAGTCGAGAGCTTCAGTTTTTTTTGGGTGTTGTGTAGTAGTAATTGTACATATAATTTCGCCTTGTACTCTTTTGTACAGTTTTCTTACTTTTGCATTTTCAAGTGTGTGAATGTGCTGTTTTCTACTCATTTAATATGCTGAAATATTAATCTCAGAAGGGTTTTCTGTTTTTTTACAAAATAGTATAAACCATCTATTGTTGCTCTAATGAAATGCTTCAAAATCTTGAGCGGGTGGTCAGAGGAAGGTCACTGGAAGGTCCTACTTCTTTACTTTCCCTCTGTTGTTTCTGTCTGTTTATCTTACTTTTTTCCCAGCACTAATGACCGTTATGTATCGATGTGCTTCTTTTCACTCAAACAAGCAAACATCTTGAAACATTTTTCATAGGGGCAACTATCTTAGGAATATATATTATATTTGTGAAAGTTGGTCACTTTGGTCGCCTAAGACTTCGGAACTATTTAACTTTCAAAGTTGGTGGTTAAGAGCCATTTAAAAGGTGCACAGTTATATTAAGGAGTCTGAAGTCACTAGTTTATTTTTCAGTTTTTCATTAGTTTCGTTTAGATCTAATCTTGGGAAAGTCTATCTTCTAAGACGCCATTGTAAACAAGTGAGGCTTCCATTCACAAGCAGTGTGCACTGTTTTAACAATAGCTTGACGATCGATTCTTTTGAGTCCGTTCATCAAACAGGTACCCAGCTAGTTGTCTGCAAGTCTCTATATTGAAGCTCGGACACTAATTTCATTTAGTTCTGACATTGAAGCTTCTTTTTTTCTGCTCAATTTTTTTTTCATTTGAAAGAAATTTTGTTTCCCTTCAGTTTCTTGTATGTTTTGTGTAATCAACACATGTCATTTGTATGCAGTTGTGCAGATTTCCATTAACATGCACATTTTGTTAAGAAATGCAGATATTTTTGCAGTTGTTTTATGAAGCTTTGAATATGTTTATTTATAGTTGCAAAGAAATGCTTCTTTGTTTAAATTATTTTTATGTGATAGATCCACATGATGCAAGAGCATTAGGTTTAGAGATGTTTTATGTAACCAGTAGAGTTATTTGATTGGATGTTTTAAAAGTGGCTCTGACACCTTTGGTAACTGAGCCTGATGGAGGTAAGTGTAGAAAACACAAATGCTCATTTAAGGGCAGTTTTAGATTAGACCCACTTTTTATGAGACTGAACAGTTACACAATGTTTTTTTTCTCATGGATCGTAATTGATGTGTTTCTCTTTTTTCACATTTACCAAAGTAGTAGAAGGTTAGTGAGTGCTCTGATATGGTGTACTCCTTTTATTTTTTATTGTCTCTTTTGTTGTAATCTGTACGGTGAGAAATATTGTCTTTTTCCCCACTCTGTTGCCATAAACTACAAGTCAACGACTTTATTAGAGCAAACAAATGCAATGTTTTGGGTTGTGGCCTACATGTACATGTTTTCAAGACCCAAAAGTAAAGGACAAACTCTAAAATTTATTTGTATGCTTGACTTGCATCGTACCCTCTACATTTATTCTTTAGAGGTGTGTGTTTTTGTCTCCTCTACCATTGGATAGCATGTGGTTAGCGGATGGTCCATTGTCTTCTGTTTCTTCAACTTCTGTCACCCTTCCTATGGAACAAACACTTTGAGAAGAAGGGATATAGCTGGATGGACAGAGGTGGAGACTATAGCTCAGGATTGAAGTACAAGGAGAGCTCTTGTTGGTGGCCTTTACTCTGGCACGCAGTAAGAAAGGCTGGTGGTGATGATTATGATGATGATGGTTAAAATCTGTTCATGGCTAATAGAGGCAGGGATTGTGGCGACTTTCTGTTAATGCTTCAACATGTCTACATTGTGCTTCAATAGCGTCTCTGATGATATGGTTAGTTGATTCACCTTGCTGCAATTGGCAGGAGTTTTAGTACCATATGGGGGAAGATGGTTAAAAAAACGTCATGCTTCAATAGCGTCTGTGGTGATATTCACCTTTCAAGCAGGAGTTTCATGTTGGGGAAGACTGTTCAAGAAATGTCTTTATCTGTGCTGGGATATGTCCCAAGCAGCCCAGGTTAGCCTTGGCATGGCAGGCTGGGTTGAGGCAGCCTGCTTCCTAAGTGATCAAATTATGATGATTGGACAGTAAAACATTTGTGGACATATCTGTAGTCTTTTAGGCTTTTCTTGTCCATAAATGATCTCAGTGTTGGAGGCTGGGCTAGATTAGAACCCAATTCTACCTCTTTAGTTTAGATGATGGTAGAGGTTTGAA